CTCCTAATACGTCAAATTATCTCCTAATACGTCAAATTATCTCCTAATACGTCAAATCAATTCAATATTATTTTCATCCGTTATCGCGGGGCCCCTTAAAGGCATGTTGGGCCTATAGGTCTATTGGGTAATCTGGCACTGATTGTTTTTTTTATTCCCTATGAAAAAATCTTAATTATACTTTAAAACTATTTTGGTGTAAAATTCTTTTTAATAGAAAAATATAACACAACCGTACAGAAACATATATATATAATACACCTTTTCTTTTTGGGGAAGGGGAAAGCAACTGTAAAGAAAAAGAAGTTTCTACAGGTAGAACATATTTTAGCCGAAATGGTATTTGCATTTATCAGTATGTTGACTAAGAATTATGTGAAGAAGTGAATTTGCATGCGGTCTTTTTTGTATTTTTATATTATTCGACGGACACAGGTAATATGAATAATTAACGTAATAACGGTAAATTGCTGTGTCGGAATAAAACATTTATCTGGAGTGTGTGCGTGTGTTTCCATAATTCGTTAAGCAAAATTATTTGTATGCAGAGCAACGCTTGTATGAAACGAGGGACGTTGGTGCGTGAAGAAGCCTGGTAGAGTATCAGCCATCTGTCTTATGAGAGAGGGGGAGATTACGAGAGGAGTATAGGGAGAACCAGATATACGTACTTCATATTTTCTACAGAAAGCCAGAAGGGTGCATGTAGGGATGGCACTAAACTCTTATGGAAGGAAGGAGGACGTACGAGAATAGTACAGGAAGGGGGCAGGATTAGAAGAATAATATAAAGAGTGGCGCATGAAGAGGGCAGGAAGGAAGGAAGAGGAGAAATGGAGAACTGATGGCCATAGTACACAATTAATTTTACTATACGGTCTCTACATTTGTTCCTCAGTACTGAACTTTCCACTGTGTGACAATCAATACAAATCATATGTTAATCTAAAATACCTTCAAAGATGACTTAACGGTTTAGTTCTTGTCAAGGGTTGACCTGCATTTTTTTGCGAGGCTGAATTGTAAACAAAACACCAGGCAACGGAACACAGATTTCACTTCCGGATCATCACCATGACCTTATTACTCAATGTGCACTGTCGCCGAAATACACACAGACATCCACACCATAAGATCACATTTCAAAGAATAATCAATTGCCTTTAAATCCTTACCAAGAATGCCAAAATCTAACTCTAGTATCAACACCAAATTTAGATCGGAAAAAGTGATCTAAAAATAGACTGGGACTACATTCGTGGGTACTGAACCGGATTTTATTAATTGTGTACTGATTCCTGAAAGGGTCAATGTTTTTGTCAAACTTTTATATTTGCATTTTATTTTGCATGCCACTACTGTTTCAACTTCATACATAAAGTCTTTTGAAATTTCCTTGCAAGCAAGACATGTGACAGCTGTCAGAAAGTGTGTAGTGCTGGTGTTCGATAGGGTGCAATTTGAGGTCCAATTGTTCTTAAGAAACCAAAACTAAATTTGCTATATCTTCCTTAATTATAGGAATTTTTCAATGCAGTAAAAACCTAATTGTAATACTTGGTAAAGCCTGTCTGAAAATAGTCTTGAAATTAAAAAATATTGATATATTAAATTCTAATGAAAATTTAAAAATATATATAAATTTTAAAAACTTTTTATTTTACAAAAAATAAATTTTCATACAAGTTATGACATTCAGTTTGACAAATTTAAGGCAGCAATGTTGATTAATGAATGGTCTTTAAAACAAATGGTAGTTTAGGTCTATACAACTGATAATATTAATCCCAGGGGTACTGAAGCATGATAGCTCACAGTGATTTTGACAGCAAATTGCAATATGCCTATCCAGATGCATATAGGTGTACATACTAAAGAAACAATGACAGGTACTATGTTCCACATTTATTGTTTCAGGTACTTGGACAGTTGTTTGTATAACTAATATCCCACTCAAATTTAAAGTTTTGATGGGACCACTACCATGTTTTATAGCAAATATGCATTCCATTTTAATGCCGATAACTACAAAAGTCAACAATGCAATATGAAAATACAGTTTCACCTTACTGAAAAAAGATGCGAATCTCTCTCATGAAGATCTAAGCCATGTCTTTGAGATGCTGTATATCAGTGTACTGATATGAAATCATCTTGGTCACTTATAGCAGCACACTGCACATGTCCTTATGAGACCTTGCTATCACCATTGGACTACTGGAGAGCTTCCAAATTGATCCAACTCTAATACTTTGTTTCAGATACCAGACTAGACCTGAAAATATATAACATGTTTCACTTAATTCTAAAAAAAAGGAAGATGTAGGCAAATGAAGTTAAAATGTGTTAGATATGGTGATTTCAATATAACATTCAGGTTGCAAATATGGTTAAAAAAGGTAAACTTGATAGAGTGACACTCAAAGATGTGAAGCAATGGGCATGTATTAAAGTGACAAATGCATCCTAAAAATAGATGAAGTTTCTACAAGCATATTTAGCCATTTACAGGTTAAATAACTAATCAGGTAGAGTATGTATCATAAAGTTTAAGGCAATGCTGGAACGGTGAGGTTTGATCATTGGTGCAAACATTGATACATACCAGTATAGTGGAAAGTCAAATGACAATGTACCAAATTAAAATTTATTACTATATGCAATCCTATTCATGAAGGAAAAAACAATTTTAGATATTGTGAGTGAATATAGCAAAATGTGGCCACACAGATCAACTATAGGTACCAATAAATCCTATATCATCAACTAAATGTGAAATTTGCATCCCGAAAACTTGCAAACAAGGATGGATATTTGCATGTGTGGGACATATGCAATGTACTTGTTAAAATCACATGTGCAAACATGATTCAAATAATCTGTTTGAATATTTTTAGTCTATTTTTAAGAGTCTTGGCTACCAAGGTTTTTAGTTCAATGATTCAATGATTCAATGGAATGAAATATCAGCTGATGCTGCAATACCGCCCTCTGTCAAAGTACTAAATTGAAATGTGTTACCATACAGAGGCATATTCATGATGAAAATAACATCTTGGGATATTTTAAGTGCACACAATCAAAACTGAGCCTTACAGATTCACTATAGGTACCATGTCAGCCTAACAATGTCAACTTTTGATTCCAAACATTACAAAATATATGCATGTTTGTTCATGTCAGCTATGTAACCATGTTAGGATCAGTTGTAGAAAGTTAAATTCAAATAATCTGTTTGAATATTACTTATGTAATCTTTAAAGTGTCAGATAACAAATATTATTAGTCATTAATAATGCATAAAGCAAAATGGATCATGAGAATTCCCATAATATCATCTAGGCTACAATGTCGCACTACATTAATCAACATCTTAAAGAAACTGAACAATAAAATGGAATGCATTCTGTGTTCAACTTACATTATTTTGCTGTTTTCTTACATGCAATGGTAAATATACCTGGGTAAAGTATATTTTACCCCTCTGACCTGTATTTCATTCTCTGACAGCTTAATATGATTTTGTAGAGAACTTGAACAGGTTCTAGTATAAAGTCTTCATCTCTGTCCTCTCACTAAATACCCTATAACTATGGTTATAAACAATTACTGATAGCTATACAAGCAGATATGTGTTACTCAGGAAGTCACCCCATCATAAACACATAAATTAACTGTTTGAACCCCAAATAAATAGTTTCAATGACCTAAAGGTACAAAGCAAAGTAGAATTTTGTCTTCATGTATTTTAAATGAGGGTCTCATTTTGACTAATAAAGATATTTTCTTTGATCAAATTTGACAAATATCCATCATTTGAGCTTGTATATGGTGTAGGAGTATATATATGCTGATATCATTTAATATCATTCCCAAAAAATATTATATATGTGTATACTTGGTGGAATTTTTTATTTTTTAATTGTTTTTTAAATTTCATTTAAATTTTTAAAATTAAAATTATTTTTTACTTCTAATTTCATTTTTATATTGTTAAAGTCAATATACATAACATATTAAAATTTCATGTATATGTCATTAATAATAAAAAATTTATATCAGTTTCAAGTTTTTACTGACAGGCCATAGTACACAATTAATTTTACTATACGGTCTCTACATTTGTTCCTCAGTACTGAACTTTCCACTGTGTGACAATCAATACAAATCATATGTTAATCTAAAATACCTTCAAAGATGACTTAACGGTTTAGTTCTTGTCAAGGGTTGACCTGCATTTTTTTGCGAGGCTGAATTGTAAACAAAACACCAGGCAACGGAACACAGATTTCACTTCCGGATCATCACCATGACCTTATTACTCAATGTGCACTGTCGCCGAAATACACACAGACATCCACACCATAAGATCACATTTCAAAGAATAATCAATTGCCTTTAAATCCTTACCAAGAATGCCAAAATCTAACTCTAGTATCAACACCAAATTTAGATCGGAAAAAGTGATCTAAAAATAGACTGGGACTACATTCGTGGGTACTGAACCGGATTTTATTAATTGTGTACTGATTCCTGATAATCTACAATTATACAACCTAAATCGAACGAGCCTGCAGAGTGACCTTGAACATTGAAGATCTGACTTTAGTCATAGTGAATGGCAACGCGTACCTTACTTAGCCAAATAGGAAGTGTCCTGCGATATAGACAACGCAACGCCTCCTCCTTAAATTCTGTCTGTTCCAACTGTACACGTTTAGCTATGTACATGTGTGTGTATGTGTGTGTGAGAGAGAGAGAGAGAGAGTGTGTGTGTGTGTGTGTGTGTGATTTACAAACGTAGCTTTAACAATGTTTCAGTCATATCATTACGATGTCTATAGTGTGACAGTTTGTTATGGTGTCTAACACTGGGGCATCATATTATAGACATGCAATATCATTTCACACCCAATCACATTATCCTGACACCAGACCGACCAGTCCTAATAATAACCTCAAAGTGCTGAGCGGCCGTTCCATTATTATTAGTTTTTGGCTTGACTCGGCTGGGTTCAAACCTGCGACCTTCTGCATCTGAGGCGGAGGCCCAACCACTTAGGCGACAGGAGCGGTCACTTTCAGCAGTCTGGACTGTATAAAAAAAGTGTAACTACACTAAGTGTTCCACATTTTCTTCCGCAACCACCGATGTTACACAAAGGTACATCCCACACCAGACGACAGAGCCTAAGCTATGGATAACACACCGGTTTTCATTGGAGGTTTTGAAAAATGAAAATTGATCAAGAACTTAAACACTATTCCTGTGTGATTGAGAAATACAAAGTAACAAAAACAACAGTTTTGAACTGGGTTTAGGTTAGGTTTAGGTTTTAAACTAGGTTTAGATTAGGATTAGGTTTTAAACTGGGTTTAGGTTAGGATTAGGTTTTTAGTTGGGTTCAGGTTATGTTTAGGTTTTAACTGGGTTTGGGTTAGTATGGCTACCGCAGTAGCCATAGCAAACTCTGGACCCGCCTTGAATCATTATAACGAAAGTTATATGGAACAGAAATTATTTCATTATTTTTCCTCATCAACATGTGCACATCATAATTACAACACATGACATCAATTAAAAAAGGAATCGTTATAAGGACTGACTTTGTTAATTTCTCATCTAAAATGTTTTTCGTTAAAAAATGGATTGGAAATGTCCTTGACTAAATATAAACTTTATCGCTATATAAGCCTTTGGTGAGCATAATGGACAGTTGTATAAAAATTCAATTCAAACTTGGAAGAAGAAGAACTCCTCATGAGTTATGATGTAAAATTTAAACAAATGACAAAAGAATTACAATGTGTTATTCCTCAACATGCCAAGAAGAATGACTACAGGAAAATGGTTACGGGAGAAAGATGGAGCTAAACAATGACCGAAGGTGCATTATTCAAATTAAAAATCAAGGTTCGATAACTCGGTATTTAAGAAGCCCGGGTGATGTAATTTCCCTATATAAATCTAGAAACAGTACCACAAACACACACACACATACACACACACACATATATATATATATATATATATATATATATATATATATATATATATATATATATATATATATATATATATATATATATATATATGCACGCACGTACGTACGTGCGTGCGTATGTATGTATGTATGTATGTATGTATGTATGTATGTATGTATGTATGTATGTATGTATGTATGTATGTATGTATGTATGTATGTATGTATGTATGTATGTATGTATGTATGTATGTATGTATGTATGTATGTATGTATGTATGTATGTATGTATGTATGTATGTATGTAGAGGGAGAGAGAGAGAGAGCATTACAAATGTACAGCAAAACCGAAGAAAAATTGTAATCACTATATCATACAAGAGTTGTTTGATGACATAAACGTATTTTTCAATAAAAAAAGTAATATAGTAATAAAGGTAAGATGTATTTTAATGCGTGCTAGGAAGATTCGAACTCATTGGTGAGTTACGATATTATATATATATATATATATATATATATATATATATATATATATATATATAGATATAGATATAGATATATATATATATATATATATATATATATATATATATATATATATAATTTATAAAATAAATAACACCAACACCTAGAAGGTGTGACAGGTTTCGCTTTTTTGCTTCATCGGAGTAATTAAGAAGCCCAGATAATGATGTAATTTATATCTATCGCCTTTGATGTACAACGTTGTCAAGCACAATAAATATCACGTTTGGATTGTACCTACCGTTAGACGCAGTTATTGGCACATCACGTCGATAAATAATAAAATGGCTAAAGAAAAACGCCACAAAGAGTTTATTAACTCAGCCCAATATATCATTGTCAAACCAAACACACCTGTCAATATTTAACCCCAGCAATCTGTAGAGCTAACAATTCCAAAAAAATATTAAATATTTACTGGTTGGGACAAGTATTTTTTTCAAACGTTTGATATCAAGGACACATTGATCTCTTTTTAGGTTGAATGATCGACATTTTTTCATGATATACGAAGATTTGCGACGTACTGATTCGGTAAGGAAATATTGGTTTGACTGATTTAGTAAGAAAACAATAGGTCAGACTGACTTCGACGAAACATGTTATAATGTGAAGTCAAATTATGAAGATGAAATTTTGAGCTGATGATGCATAAAACTGTAGCAAAGAAGACACAGACTGCAGATTATGACAATAGTTTTAGAAAACATTTATAATTTTAGATTTTGACATATTATTGCATCCATGTGCTTTTTCACCGGATTTCATATTTGATATAAGATCTGAAAAAGGCTTCTGGAGTGATAAAAGGTGGTAACCAAAACGTTAGAGTATACGCACTGATTGAAAACAAAGTGGGGTGGGAGAAAAGGTGTTTATATTATGATACTATTCATTGGGAATCGTGTGCAGTCACTTAATGTCAAATATCGAACTGAAAATGCTTTCTTGTTTCATTACATACAAGACATGGAATTATCGACACGGCAGGCCATACAGCTTTAATAACTCCAACATTTTATTTTTACACTAGATGAACTTGAAGTCTGTATTAACATTGTGCAACAACATTTTTAAAAAGGATCCAAACGAGGTTTACAACTCAGCAATAAAATCTATGACGAAAATCGGTTAACAGCATAAAATTAAACAAGAGGTTGTACATAAGCAAAGCAAAACGAAAGAAATACTTTAAGTTCCATTTCACAATATGGTACCTATGTGTGCGTTGGGTATTGTACTACCTTTATCATTTTCAATGTAAGAAAACAAAAATTTCCTCAAAGATAGATACTGCAATTGTATTCCTTTTGAATGTATGCATAATATGACCCAAATCAATCTTTCCTGGAACTTCTCTCAATACTTAAAAATATCGTTTAAACTCATCCTTAAACAGTTCAGGAAACTTCTAATTCAGTCGCTGAAATATAATAATATATAGTATCATTTGAAATGGGGCTTTACAAACACTTTAAAATTACATATCATACCAACAACAAAGTATATAATCATCATGGTAAGGACTAACACTCTTTAATATTTTCTTCTACTTTATAATCTTCTTTCATACTCAACCGATTAGAAAAACGATTGCATTTTAGCAATAACATTATGACGGATTTAAATATTTAATTCATGCACATTCAATCAGAATTTGTCCTGAGTAAAATGATGCACACAAACATACATTATATATATATATATATATATATATATATATATATATATATATATATATATATATATATATATATATATATATATATATATATGTGTGTGTGTGTATATATATATATATATATATATATATATATATATATATATATATATATATATATATATATATATATATGTGTGTGTGTGTGTGTATATATATATATATATATATATATATATATATATATATATATATATATATATATATATATATATATATATATATAGCAAAATGCTATTATCAATCATATTTAGCATGATATATTCCACATCACGTCGGTAACAAATTACGTAGCCTTCGGACTGTCTGACGTCATCATCATCTTAGAAAACTGACGCATATAAACGAGAGATCGACAAAAATAGAGGACAAACAACATATATACTCAGAGTGATAAGATGGGAGGATAGAAATAAGAGAGGAGAGAAGGCCTGGCATGCAAGTAAAAAGAAAGAACAGTGACAGATGTGCATAAACATATATATAATTATTCCTTGCTCATCTCCGGCCTCATCGTCTTACCTGTATCATAATCGCGCATATTTGAGAGAAGACAGTTGACACCTGGACTTTGAAATATACAAAGCTACATTTATTTCCATCACAGGTAGAAAATGTACTAACACCCATTTACTAGTCTCAAGTACAAAATTTCTCGCATCTACTCAGGTGTGTTAGTTTCTCTCCTGACACTTGGCGGATTCTCGACATGAGGGAAATAGTCCATATTCAGGTGGGGCAGTGTGGGAACCAAATAGGGACCAAATTTTGGGAAGTAATTTCGGATGAACATGGGATAAATCCTACGGGAGAGGCCCAAGCGGCTAGTGACCTTCAGCTGGAAAGGATTAATGTCTATTACAAGGAGGGATTGGAAGGCAAATACGTTCCTCGATGCCTTTTGGTGGACCTAGAACCGGGAACCATTGATGTAGCTAAAGCCTGTACGTATGGAAAACTTTTTCGACCGGATAACTTTGTCGCTGGTACATCCGGAGCTGGTAACAACTTTGCCAAGGTATATTGCTAACTTTCAATAGATTCGCTTCCTTTCTATATATTCTTATACAAATTGCTGTACATGACTATTGACTTAAATTATGTGGTATCAACTCTTTGCACACAAATTAAAATTAGAAAATGAACTTAAATTTGAAAAGATGAAATAAAATCAAATTATACAAGTATATTAAATACATTATTCGCTAAGTAAACATTTTGCACAAACATTGGATTTTTTACGAAAAAAAAACTAAGCTCAAGTGCAAATAGGTGCAATAATGGCAATATCATCATAATACGTATTCGTTTCTGTAATTAAATTGTTGCTATCCTTTCCAATTAATTTTCTATTCAAGTATCAATATGCTTCAGAACTTTTGATTTTTTTTTTGGGGGGGGAATATGTGTCCGTGTGGGTGATCTGGATTTTTAATGCACATTGAACAATTGTTCAGTTATATCGCTACAATGAATGTAGTGGGTCAGCTTATAGTGATGTCTTGCACTGGGGCATCTTGCTGCTGACGCGTAGCATCATGTGTCCCACCCAGTAACATTATAGTGATACCAGGCCGATCAGTCCTAATACCAACCTCTTAATGCTGAGCGCCTTGCGAGGCAGCTGTTGCTGCCACTTTTAGAATTATTTGGTATAACTAGGCCGGGTTTCGAACTCATAACCTCCCCAACCTAGGTGGGAGCTCTAACCACTATGCCACCGGCTCGGTGTAATTATGTAAAGTGTAGATCACTTTCTAAAAATCCTTTGGAAATATGTAATGTATATATCACCCTCACAATCCATGTGTTCAGTCTAAATTACAGACGGTTAGTTTATCAAACT